TGTTTTGTTCCTGTAAAGATGTGCTTGATAATTTTAAAGTTGTAATTGTGTGGCTTTGACATTTGTATGAGACTCACAATTGAGGTTTCTCTATGATGGTCTTGGTGATCTTTTAGCAAGTGTGGGGGAACACCCGGATGTGACAATATATCCACTGCAGTTCATGAATCTTAATTTATGCAGACATTCAAATGTTAAAATGTCTTTTAATGTTTTGTTCTAGAGAAGAGTGAGTTAACTTAAGACATAATAATAAATAATTCTTGTCATTTTTCTGCTCCACCTATTATCTGAGGTGTGCAGATCAGTTTATTTACATCTCAGCTATAAATTTGTCATTTATTATCAAATTTCATAAAATCTTGAAAGTAATTTATTTAATTCAAGTTTTTCCTTCTTGAAATGGTAGCTTAATACAGCTGATGATATAATTAGGAGGATATTTTATGTTTAGGAAGATGATTTGTAGCAAAAAGAGCTAATTAGACTTACTTAATGACAGATCGTACTGATGCAGTTGAAAACTACATAGCAGAATACTTATTTTTCTAAAATTCATGTATCATTCTTTAAAATGTAGTTATATTTTATTGATGATGATTTTGGAGCTTTGGTTTTGAAAAATGACTAATGGAAAACGTAGTTAAGTTTTTCAGTGTCTTAGAACTTAAAGTACAGGAAAACAGTAACATTTTAAAAGCAATGTTAGAAACATTAAATATGTAAGTACTGTGAGAAATACTTTTTGTATTTTAATTATAAGTAACGTAATCTTAATAGCATTTTTACTTAATGAGTACAAATGGCCCCTGATTGCGCTGTTTTATTCTGTATGAGTAATTTGTCCCATTATGATGACTGTAATCTTTTTCTCATTTGTTTTTTACTGCTTGCCTTTTCTAGGAAGTAGAGGTTGGTATACATCTTTTATCTTTCATGATTCTGTGAGTTTCTCATGTATACATTGATTCCTTACGTTTTACTAAATGTAGGCTGTTTCTCCCTCTCCAGGATGATTATTTTCGTACATGGAGTCCGGGTAAACCGTTTGATCAAGGTAAGATTCTGCTACTAGTTATTTGTATGAGATAAAATTTAAGTACTTATGGTTACACTCCTGTTCTAGAATACCTACAGAATTCTGTGCATTTGTGCCACTTTCTCCCTTGTCAAATGATTGATTATAAAGTGAACCAGAAATTCGGCCTAATAATGATTTTATATCTGTGATTTTTGCAAACTTTTATTGATTAGAGACAGAGATGGGAGCATTAGGAACCTCCAAAGTAGCTTAAACTTGCTCTTATCTAAACAAATTCATGGGGTTTAGGAGGTCTTGTTTTGGTTTATTTCTGTATTTAAGCACTGTTTCATTTTCAGTAGGACTTTTGAAGAAAAACAGGTGTGCAATCTGATACTTGTCTTTTGCAGTTAAAAAAAAAAACTTCATTAATATCTGGCTGATAAAAGATCTCGAAAAACAGTTTTGGAAGTCTCTGTCATCATCAAGTGCTGATCTGTCTTGAGGCAAAACACAGATGGAGCTTTGAGAATGCTACAGTGCAACAATTTCAGCCTTAGAATAATTTGAGCAAACACAGCATATTTTCACATTCAACATTCCCTGCCCAGGCATTGGAACTTAATATTTACTGTCAATATAATCCACTTTATGTATATTGCTTCAAAGTGTATGATTACCGTTGTGAAACTACTGGCAATCTTGATACATGCTTTTTTTTAAATTGCTAGGAGTGCTTCAGAGACTTTGTCTTTTCTGACAATACCAATGGCACAGATGCAGTGAAGAAACATTTTGGGGGCTTGTACACAAGAGACTGAAATAAAAATACGTTGCAAAAATAATGTTTACTCAATTTAAAGAACTTTCTCCATAGTGGATACTGACTTTTGAGGGAGATTTATAATGAATTGTGTTTTGTTATATCTACATCTCTTAGAGGTGGACTTTGCACCATGCCTTTGCCACTTTAATTCAGGATTACTGTTGTAAGCCTGTGAAAGGAAATGCCTTAATTTCTTAAATGAATGCACCCAGCTTGTTTTGCCATTTTGTGGGAGAGAGGAGTAGAGGGAGGGGGGAAAAGTCACATTTATGTTATCACTACTGTGTGATTTTCTTCTGGTGTAGTGGAAATTTGTAAATGTTAATTTAGATCCATGGCAGCCTGAATAGTTTAGAACCTGTCAATTTCACAGACCTTGTGTCTCTCCCCATTATATGCAAGTACATTAGGAAAAAGTACTTGACTTTAGACCTGACTCCTCAGAGAAAGAGATTCGTTTCTTTTGGTGAAGTCTCTCATCTAAGAAGCAGACTTATTGCTTCGCTACGAAGTACTTCTAGTCTATTCCTTGTCTCCTTTGGTTTTTTGATAGAGGGGCATGGTTTTCAAATGTGTTTTTAGTAAGAGAACTGGAATAGGTTATACTTTAATGACTTGTGGAAAAATCTTTCATCAAAAGACATTGAATTTATCATATAGTTGATATATTTTGGGGGTTTTTGTTATATTTTTTTTCAATTGGCTGTTAGTTTATCAGAAGTTATACTGAAATACTATTTTTTTTCCACCAGATTTAAACTTTTACACACTCTGGCTTGTTGTATTACGCTGAGTTCTTTGGAGATCCTGATACTGATGTTTGTAGAATACTTTTCTGAACTTACAAACAACCCAACTAAGAAAACATGTTAATGTTATCTGTCCTACCTTGTTTGCAAAATGCATTGTGTATTGGGTAGTGAATGTTTTAAAAGCATGTCTACAGCGTTCAACTTTCTATTTTCATATCCTTGTTAACTGAAAATTAACACTGAAGAGTGAAATGCATTTGCTGAGTAGTTTTATGTACATTTGACTGTGTAATTTATAACTGGAAAACAAATAATGCTAGTTAGAAACACTTTTTAATAATAAAAGGTGCACTGAAGTTTTATTATTATAAAATATTCCCAGTGTCTTAATTTGTCAATCTATCATTTAAAGAATATCAGGGATTTTTACCTGCCAATGCACTGTTTTTCAGTTTTCCTGAAATAACTGCCACAGTCTTTGTATTGAATTTAGCAATTGATAGTAAATTGAGCTGTATGTCAAAAGATTTACAGTTTACCAAGAATTAAACATTTTCTAGACTCTGATTGATATACAGATATTCTTTATTAATCAGAGACATGCATGCTGTTGTTATTTTTTTGAAAGTCTGTAAATAACATTACTGACTAGATCTGGGAGATACAGTAAAAGATAGAAGAAGGTTTCCCAGTCAATATCTTGGTCTCCATGTTGTCAGAATTGGCTTCCTCTTACTTTCAGGTATAATGGGTAATGATTTCTTGAAACATAGCAAAATATTCCTGAGAATAAAATAACTGTGAAAGGGCCATGTACTTGTTCATACATTCAAATCTCTCTCATCAGATGGGAAGAGTGATCATGGGTGATACTTTGTGGGAAAACCTGTTTGTACTTTAATAGTGTGGCAACCTTGTAAGTGTTAGTTCCTTAGGAGTGAATATACTGTTCATGATTTACTGAAGAAATCAGGTCTTTTATGATTCCCTGTGTTTGCCAATTAAAGACATACAGTAGTGACATTTTTTTCCTTTGTATTATTTAATGAGATAAGAAAGTGTGAGAGTTGGTAAACTATAGAAACTAAGTTTTAGGCGTACATTCTGATAGTCTCTGTAAGTGTCATTCCAAGGCTGTGCCATAAGCGCTGCACCACTGCTATTCCACTCCAGTTGTGTGCCACTTAACTACTAAGTTTAAAACAAAGAAGTTTTAACTACTAATTAGCGTTTTCACCTAGGTAACCATCCATGCACCCTTATGGGGTTTTAATCTTTTTTTTTTTTTTCTTTTACCCAAGTGAACTATTCAAAACAATAAATGGGAACATCACGAATGACTGACTGTGGAGTCCCATAATCTGTTGGGACTTGTTGCAAGCCAAGCAGTTTGTATTAGAGAATCTTTATGAAGGTTTCCCTTTCAGTCTTCTGTTACTGCCATTCTGGTTTGCGCAGCAGTGACTCTCAAGTGAGGGCATTTCATAAAAAATGTTCTCCCAAATGAAAACATGAAACTCCTAAGTGAAGGAGAAATCTTTTAAAATGTAGATACAAACTTGCAGTAAAAGACTAAAATAGCTCACTGAAGATGATGTTTAAATAGGAGCAGTAACAACTTCCGGTGTCAGTTGTGTTAAAAACTTTGTAGTAATACTGCTGAAGATACAGGAAGACAAGTTCTTTGAAGACAGAAATAAATAATATCCCTAATTTATCTCTAGCAGTGTTTTTTTTCTTTTCATTCTATTTGTTTTATCAATATTTGGCTTTCCAGAAACTTACGTATAAACGTATGAAAGTATGGAATAAGCAAGGAATCTTTTTGGCATTAAAAGATCTGAAGTCCAGGTCTACTAGACGGGGTATTTTTTTCTATTTATTATGAAAACAATGGATTAAGGAGTTGCTAGTGCTTTTATGGTATTTTTTTTCTTTGCTGATTTAAATTACAGCAACTTTACATGATGAGATTACAACTAGATATTTGTAAGTTTTAAAATCTGTGTATGAATATGAAGACCTTTAAAATGCATAAAGCCCAGCTGACTACATGTAATAGAGGTGATGTGGAATATTTAGCTTTATGTCTGTGTTTTCAAATTGTTAGCTGTCACTTAAAAAATACTCAGAACCTCTGCTACACTCCTTTGCCTTTCAAGCTGCGGTGTAGGTACTTGGTACACATGTAACTCCTTGTCACTATCACCAGTAGGCAGCCAAATAGGTTCTCATTATTTACATTTATTATTTTGTGTATCCATATTCTGCTCGAAATGAGTGATATACGGGGACCTTTTAAAAATTAGTTTTAGCCAACACCTGTATTAATTTGCAGGTAGTATTTTTGAGGAACCAGTGCTTGCCACATAGGTATATCTTTGAGATCTACACATAGTTACTGCTTTCCTACGATTTATATAACTATTAAAGCCTTTTCTAAGATTTTCATAGATTTACTATATATGGACAATATGTTTATTTTTTCAAAATGCATCCTTAATCTGAACCCAAATCTTATGCTAATATTTTATTGTAATATTTGTAATGTCTGTGCATATGATAATAAAATGACTGTCTTAATAGTCTTAATTGGCTCTTCTATACTTTGGTGTATTTTGAAAGGCATTCTTATGATAATATGATTGAGTATGTCAAAATTGCTCAGGTAGACAGATCTGTGTAATTCCATTGGTATTAGTGGTTAGAGAGTGGTTATGTGGAAATGCATGTCCAAGCATTCCAAGAGGTTAGCCATTACTATGAAAATGTATGGTGATATTTACTCCTGGACTGCAAAATCCAAGTTATTTTAAAAGATGGAAAAATATAACTTGCATTGCAATCCACCAATGCCATTCCTTAAAGCAACATCTGACATTTGTCCAAAGAGTACTTGTTCCCATTGAACTCTCGTTTGCTTATATACATATAAGATAGAATAACGCATTTAAATAAATGTTTTGACTGTATATGAGATATATATACACATACACATAAATGTTTCTGTATTTCTATAAATATTTCTAGAAATATTACAATGTAAATTCTTAATAAACAATCATGTGGGTTGGGTATTTTTGATGGAATAAATCTGAATGTTCTATTATTCCTAGTTAGTTACTGCTGAAAGGCAGGTTTTGACTCTCAGTGGTTTTAGAAACAAGCAGTTAGGATGTTTTGTGTTTTGGACTATTCCAAGTTGAATATTTTACTACCTTTAATGTATGTTTTATCAAAGTTTTTTCAAATTAAAAAACAAACAAACAACCCAATACTTGCTAATATGTTTTCTTCATATACCACTTTTACATCAGATAAAAATATACAGGATACTTTTGGTTCATTTTATTTTTAGACTACAGATGGTAGCAGAGCTTGGAGGATGTAGCTATTGAACAAAATTGCGTACACAAAGACACTGGTGTAATTTTTTAAAGCAGAAAGGATGTTTTCCT